ATTACATCTGCAAGTTAATAGAATATTATAATTTGTAGGTAATAAATGTAGACAGGGTGTTAAAATATAATTGTTACATCTGGAGGTTGACGTCGTAAAAGGCGACTAAGTAGGGATTTTTCCTTTGAATTCAGAGTGCATCTGTCTGAGAGATGAGGAATCAAAAAGTTTGCATACAGCTTTGCCAGATCTGTTAAAAAAAAAAAAAGGATGTGCCTGCAACACTGAGGTTCTGAAAGAAGACAATAAAGTGCAGAGGTTGATGAACAGCCAGAACTTTTCACCTAGTTTTACAGCCAGGCAAGAAGACAAAGATTTATTTAATATCCTGCAGTTAAATGTAAGCTGTATAATCACACATGGTGCTCTCTTCTTCTTCTTCTTCCCGTTCACCAGCTGTAAACTCTGGCGGAATGTTCTGGTTGTTCATCCACTTCTGGACTACAGTCCTGTTCCTAAACTTTAGTGTTGCGTGTGCATCTGTTTGACAGATCTAATTTGTATGCAGACTGTTGGTCCCTTGCCTCTCAGGTAGATGCATTCCGACTTTGAAGGAAGCTCCCAATTAGTCGACTCTTACGACATGCTTTTGGGTAGGCAGTGGGTCTATTCTTTCTATTCTTGTTTTCCCTATAACAGGGCCCTGGAACCCACACAGAGAACATGATGCTCTGATTGGAATACAAAGTGCTATCACATTCTAAGCATTGTTTTCCCTTGATAAAAAACACCAAAGGACCCATTTTAAGTAATAAATAAGACATCTACACTTGCCTGTTAATAGGGTCAATAAAGGGAGTACAGAATAACAACACTGTAATTTATCATACATATCTTTTCTCTCAATTCTTTATGCAGAGTGGCAAGCACTTCATCAGAGGTCCAGAGTAGTTAGCGTCTCTTGGATATTATCAAACAGTTATACAAGTGTGTTGGGAAACAGACAGACAGTCAGACAGAGAGGTGGTAAATTGATGCATGACAAGTTTAGATTTGTCTTTCAAAGCAAGTTAACAGTGCAGAGACACAAACAGATCATGACAGGTTTAGATTTGTCTTTCAAAGCAAGTTAACAGTGCAGAGACACAAACAGATCATGACAGGTTTAGATTTGTCTTTCAGAGCAAGTTAACAGTGCAGAGACACAAACAGATCATGACAGGTTTAGATTTGTCTTTCAGAGCAAGTTAACAGTGCAGAGACACAAACAGATCATGACAGGTTTAGATTTGTCTTTCAGAGCAAGTTAACAGTGCAGAGACACAAACAGATCATGACAGCCTGAAGCCAATGGTGTAGCAGAGAGTGATTAAAGGACCTGGCCAACACTCAACAGTCAGAGAGGAAGACAAGACAGACAATCATACTACTGGTATCATTAGAATTGAAATGCTGTGCTGGCTGCTGGGGATGAGGATGTAGCGCATATGGGAATGTCTCAAGTGCCATGTTAGACATAAACTTGACTCACAATAAGAGGAATAATGGAGACTGGTGCGATGATGGCTATCTTGACTTTAAGTAAAACTATTACTGCAAAATCTAACCGGTTGGGAACCAGCCTGAATATGATTTGGGGTGTGAGCTGGTAATGGGACCTTTTCTCCAGTTGAAGATGAAAGGCAGAAGATAATGATGAATTCATAAAACATCTCGGTAAAAAAGTTCCAAATGTAGTTTAAATAATTTTTTTTTTTAAACTACATGACACATGTTGTGGCTTTAATTGAACAAAGCAGCAACTTTTATTACACAGTACATGGCTCTGAGCAGACATATGGTTTTATTACACAGTACATGGCTCTGAGCAGACATATGGTTTCATTACACAGTACATGGCTCTGAGCAGACATATGGTTAACAGTTTAACATGATTCTTTAAATATACTCTTACATTAAGTGGAAGCTTGCACATAACATCAATATATTAGATATGTTAATTCAAGCATATTCTTTCATTCCTTCATTTAGACCAAAGCACTTTTTAGAGAGAAAAAAAAACTGTTACAGGCTGGAAAGAGTACTTATGGCTGCTCTTTTCTTCATTTGTCATGTAATGTCAACGCTCACAGTTAATAACTCTTCCTAACTTGCATATAACATCCATATATGTTAGATATAGTAACTGAAACATCCTAACAGAGACACAAATTTTAAATACAATATCTATACCAACTTTAGGTTACCAATGTCAGACTTGGACAGTGACAAAAGAACATGGAAAGAAAACTAACTACCTGTGAGATGAGATGTTTGAGAATAACTGTGAATAAAACCAAAAGAGATCGAATGAGAAACGACATGATCACAAGAACTGTTAGAACAACACTGATTGTCAAATTTATTGAGAAACAAATAATGAAATGGTTTGGCCATCTAATGAGAATGAAACCAACGATGCCAGCAGCAGGAGCGTACAACCTGAAAATCAAAACATCAAGAGGAAGGGGAAGACCGAGAAGGAGATGGATAGAGGGAGTCAGTGACACCTCAAGACTGAATATCAAGTAACTGAGCGTGCCCTGGCTCGGCTGCTGATTGTCTGAAGCAGACATAAGCAGATATTGACAAAAGAAAGAAGATATGGTAATTCAACAATATTCTTTCATTCTTTCAATTAGAAGCAATTCCTCTTGATAACTTTTATAGGTTGGAGAGTGAGTACTTATGGCCGATCCAAACTTTCTTTCATTTGTCATGAAAGGTCCGTGCACACAGCTAATAACCTTATCCCTATAGGTCAGAGTAGCACAGCTGATTCTGAGGCTGAATATTTAGGATCACAAGGCTATCACATTAATGAAGATCCAAACTTGCCCCCCTCTCCCACACAAAGACAGAGAGCACAATGCCCAGCCAACGGCTTCTCTGTTGGTAACTTATACATTTATTTGGTTTCATCTGCCTCCAGTTGGAATCTTGAACGCTGAAAAAATACTGGACTTTTCTGTGTCAGATGTTATACAAATACAGGGGTAACAGACCCAGAGGTCAACCATGCAGAAGATGGACAGCAGAAATATCAGAGACACTGAAAAGTGCTATATGTTCTCTCCCAAAACTCCAGATTAGTGATTCTATCATACCATTTAACTCCCTCTATTCTGCGCAGGCACCAGTTATTGAATGATTATATTTATAGTATATTAGTAATTGCCCTAGTTGTTCTCCGTGTTTCCGCTCCATTCAATAGTACTTCTTCTTCTTCTTCTTCACAAAACTCTGGTGGAAAGTTCTGGTTGTTCATCCACTTTTGGACTGCAGTCCTGTTCCAAAACCTGAGTGTTGCGTGTGCATCCATTTTACAGATCTGACTGATTTGTATGCAAACTGCTGGTTCCTTGCCTCTCAGGCATATGCACTCCTACTTCGAAGGAAGCTCCCAATTAGTCGACTCTTACAACATGCTTTTGGGTAGGCAGTGTGTCTATTCTTGTTTTCCCTATAATAGGGCCTGGAACCCACACAGGGAAAAACAGTACTGATTTGACCACTCCTGAGTAACCTCACGCAATTTTAACTTGTATTCATCCCCTCATGTGTATAAATTTGGCATTATAACTCCTAGGTTTTTATGCTGCTTATGCATTTATTTCTGTTTGTGGCAGACCCTGTGTTAGAAATATTTATCATCTAAATTTACATCTTCTTTTTCAGCATCTGAAGTCCACTAGGTTTACTGTCACATAAATCACCTGCCTCCGTGAACGGAGGACTCCAAGAGTTTGTATCAATCAATAAGGTGCCGTCTCTAGTGAAAGTTGGCTGCAATGGATCTTTAACACACTCTGACCCTTGCCCTGGTTGTAACCTCTCTCAGACTGCTGCCCGTCCATCTATTGATGTTGTCCACCCACTTTATTGCTGCCCACCTCTTGCTCTCTAGCCTTCGACCTTTCCCTCCAGTATGGTTTTTAAAAGGGTGTTATATCCTTTAATGTGGCCAAAGTATTTCAATTGTCTCTGTTTGTATTTCTTTCAGTAATTATCTTTTCATTTGTAGTCTTTCCAGAACCTCTGTACAAGACTGTTTTTGTTTCCATGAAATATGACCTATAAGTGTTTGTTGGTCTGCTTAAATATTACCTCTCCCATCTTCGTTGTCTTTCTCACGGTTTATGGCCATTCAACTCCCTTGTGTACAGTTTTTGCCTAACTGTCATTTTCTCTATATGTCCCAGCCATTTCTGTCTATTAGCCCTCATTAGGCCTCTGATCAATGGTGATTTAACTTACATAGTGTAATTACAATTTCACCACAAATCAGTTACAGAAAAGAAGATTTAGGTTTTCCCTGTGCAAGCTCTGAGGCTTTGGGGTGCTATGGAGGTTCACAGCAAAAGTGAATGAATGTTGCTTATTACAACAGAGCGTGGCAAACAATATCACAACATCTATTTGAGAATGGACGTGGAGGCAGTCACTGAGGCAGGTCTACTGGATTAAGAATCAGCTATACACACATATTGTAACTCACAGAGTATGTTGAGAAAGGTGGAGACAGGCATGCTCCGTGCAGAGTGGCAAGCACTGCTTTAGAGGTCTGGGTTAGTTAGTGTCCTTTGGTTATTTTCTCCAGATCAAGCTGGTGTGTTGGGAAATGAGCATGCAGACAGACTGGCTAGTTCTGCGCCGCTTGGTGATAACTAATGTATGATAAGCTAAATGTTTTCAGGGCCCTTTGGGAACGAGTGAACAGTGCGGAGGCAAAAACAAACCATTACTGCATAATTAAGGATAATGGCGCTACAGGGAGTAACCAGGGGATCTGGCTGACATTCAACACTCAAGGGAAAGGCGGACAGATGCACAATCAGACAGTTACTAATACCATCAGAACTAAAACTCTTTGCTTGCTGCTGAAGATAGGGACAGAGCGCTTATGGGAGTGATCTGAGTGATGTGATGTTGATTCTCCAGTTAACGTTCAACATTTCGGTGATTTAACTTACATAGTGGATGCAAAATTTCATCATAAAATCAGTTACAGAACAGAAGATTTAGGTAAATGTGCAAGCTCTGAGACCCAATTTTGAGTGGGGGGAGGGGGGGGGGGGGGGAGAAGAAGGGAAGGGGGGCAGACCTACTGTCCCCTATTTAAAAAAAAAGGGGGGAGGGATTGAATTATAGGTTGGCTAAAATCTGATATGTTGAGCTGAATGTTGAAGATATTGCTGCCTGGGTGTAAACCACAGCACAACGTGTCAACTGCCCTTATCAGAGCAAACTCTACAGCAGAAGAAGGAAAGATGACTCAACTGGAAACATTTAATAGCTTGTTCAATCTTGTCCTGACCAGTTTGAGCTGCATCAGACAAGGAAAATCCCTCACAACCTTTCAGAATTAACTGCCAGAAAATAATCGACAAAAGTTATTTATAAAACTCATTTCAACAGATCATTCAGTGAGAGTTATCCTCCCTTGTAGACATTAACTTGCTGAGCTTGGTCCTGTGAAGAAGAAATCAAATACACACAATTCACAAATCACTCAAGGTAAACTGGAGACTAAAACACAAATTATGCCGTCCCCACGCTGGGCACTGGCTGCAATATATCTATTCCTTGCTAGCTATGGAAATATTTTTTGGGTGAGTCCCAACTCTCTTCCATGGTGTGACTCTCACACTGTGTTTTCTATCCTACGCCTTAAAACATGACACTATCCACTTCACAGCCATATGTACATAACATTTTAAGACTGGTGAATTGACCATGTGCATATGTGCAGTGGCACCTGACATAACAGATCACATCCTCAAAGACAGTCCCAAATACATACACACCTGAAGGTTTGACCTTTGGAAAAACGAAATTTCAGTGGAAGCCCAACTTTATGGGTTGCTGAGTGAATTTTAAAAAAAAAAACAGTGAAATTCATACTAGAGACAACACTGCAGATATAGACAATCTATTTCAAGCGAACAAAAGAAGAAGAAGAATATAGTGTCTCAAAACCATGACAAGTCTTTTTTATAAACCACTATGAGATATGACTTGACTAAACAGCTTCAATGATATGAACAGATTCAAAAGTTAATTGCACATCCTTTATAGGACATTACATAACCAATCCCATCATTTTTTGTTTGCTGTTGGGGTTTTTCTAGGCAAATTTTTGTTCAGTGGTTTGCCATTGCTTTCTGGACAGTAGGCTTCTCAATACCACTGTTAAAACCAACGTAAGACCCACAGCTGGGATCAAACCAAGCACCTCAGGATTATGAAGTGCGTTCACAACGCCTAAGCCACAGACAATGACTATTCAAAATCACCAAACTTAAAAGCTTCAGTGATAGAGGACCGAATCTGAAGGACCAGCCTAGCAGTTAGATACTCTATGGAACCAACTCAGTAGCTTCAATCAGTGGCTTTAATGATATAGAACCGAATCTGAAGGACCAGCCTAGCAGTTAGATACTCTATGGAACCAACTCAGTAGCTTCAATCAGTGTTTCCCAAGGTGGGCACTACCAATGGGGTGTCTGGGAAGTGGTAGCTGCCTCTATCATATGTTGAAAAAGTTGGGGGGGGGGGGGGGGTTGAGGGTGGGACAGCAGTAGCCTCAGGTGCACTGAACAATACTAAAGCGGTAAAAGAGTGAGAGGCGGGCGTGGTGGGGATGATCATATCTCTGCCATTAGGGTGTAACAGATGAAGACTGTTATAAATTCATCTCCTTCATTTTGACAGTGCTACAAAAAATTTTGAGCAAAAGCCAGCCATCTGGAACACAATTTTTTGTATCCAGATTTCTTGTCAGTGAACGTGAAACTTCCTAACATTCGACAGTCAGCGCAGTAAATGTGAAACAATGATTTTCCTGAATTTTTTGGTTCACTTTTTCGACTAAATCGCCTGTCACCATACTCGGCCGCCTGATATGATCTTCATTATAGATATCTGTTCGCCCTTCTTTAAATATTCGACACCATTTCCTAACCGCACTATCAGTCATAACATCTGGCCCATAAATCTCAATAAGTTGCCGGTGAATTTCTGCAGCATTATTGGTTTTTTTTTGCTAACAAACAAAAAAACGGGGTGACAGCACGAACCTTGCAGCTGATGGGAATATTACAATAGCACTATTACAAATCAATCACAGGCAGCATCAAACAAGATTTCGACAGTAAAAAAGAAATAGCGTATAGCTAGCTAATAACCACATAAACATACTGCCTACCCACATTTACGTTTTCCATTGGTGTCTGTCGGAGCGGTCAAATCGGGGCTTACTTAAAAAATGTGCCTCATATTATTGCTATATAGAACCGATGCTTGTCAATCTGGCTTATCTGTGTGCAGACTGTTGGTTCCTTGGCTCTCAGACACAGCACCCCTAATTTGTTGCTTTTTACCACATGCTTGCTGAGGGACATTGGGTTTATTCTTATTTTCCCCCAAAATGGGGACAAGGAACAAGCCATATAAAGATACAGCAATGAAAACAGAAACTAGATGGAACATGCTGGGAAGTCAGTACAATTACCAAAAAAAAAAAAAAAGCAAGTCCAAATGCAGTAGGTAGGCCTCTGCCTTATAGGACAAGACGAAGCAGCAAAAACGGACACTGGGAAAACTTTACGAGGTTAAAATTTGGGCACACAGAGCAGTGACAAGACTCCCCCACACTGAGATAATTTAAGAAATAAAACTGTTGTCTTAAAGCCACTGGATTTCGCAGACAGAAAAAAACCTTACTTAAATTGAAAGGCTCAAGATGCTTCCAAACCATCTATTTCTCCTTGTTAAGAAAAAGTATAAATCATCTTGCAAAAAAACTCCGCAAATATAAAAACTGACATGATTTTTTAAGCTCTATTTCCAGAAAAATGGATTAGATGTCATATCCAGTACAGTTCTGATGGCCGCGGGAAAAATCTCTTTAAAAAAAAGGGGGAAAAAAACTGAGTCACAGCTACAAGCTCTTTTATTTTATATACAAAGTATCCTTTCAAAATTTGGACACAGGCGGTTTTGCTACAAAGACACATGCACACACAAGAAGTGAGCCAGTCCATATTACATACCATAATGGTAGCACAGAGACACATTGCTATGCAACTAACAAAACACAGGATACTATATCTAACTCCTCTCTGTGATACTTAAAGAAGTAGCAAGTAAAGTAAGTAAAGATCCCTTTTCACGGCTTTTAGGCATATCGAGTAAATGAGAAGAGCACCTATATTTTTACACACTATCGGCACTAGGTGGGTAATGTGGTCAGCATTACGCGGCCGTTTTTACTTCCCCAGGAGAGCCATCCTGGTACCCGTTTTAGGCTGGGTCAACCTGCGACGCCCCATACCATGATAAAAATCAAAAAAAAGTAGTAAAGTAAAAAAAGGATCCTTTTCCGCGCCTTTAGGCGTATAGGGACAGACCTATATTTTTATAGACCAATCGGCACAAGATAGGTGATGTGGTAAGTATCATGCCGGCCGCCTTTACTTCCCGGGACTGCGCCTAGTACCCACTTAATATCCAAGAATATCCGGCTCCGCCAGAGAGCGAACCCACGACCTTCCAATCCGCGACGAGCGTCTAGCCGCTCGGCCACAGCGACCCCCCCCCCCTCCTCCCCCAAAAAGTAGTAGTTAATTTAAAACATAAAACAGCTCATTAGAAACCTTGGTTATTGTTTTGACCGCTGTTATTATTATTCCCTGACTGGCTGAGGCTACTCATCTGCTCCCTCAGTTGCTGGACAAGCTGTGGATTTGCTTGTTGCATCTGAGATGCCATCTGTTGTGACCTGCGAAAGTCAAAGATGCCTCTGATATCAGATAAAGACACTTTGTGTTTTGATATTTTTTAGTCAATACAGAATACGAGCGCTGGTTATTCTATAATAATACGAGTCTGGCATCATACGCCCGATGCACACTTGTATAAAGCGTCCTTTACTTACTTTACTATGTGATGATGTTTTATATTGAAAATGACCCAGCAATGTACTGTATTCTTCAGTGTATAAGGCATCCCCTTACAATAACGAGCCTCCCTTTTTTTAAACCCAAAATTAGGAAATAAATATTTTAAACATATTGTATGTATAAGATGAGCCTCAGTTTTAAATTTAAAAAATGAGGGAAAACTTATCATCTTACAGGGGGATAAATACGGCATTCTTCTTTGTCTTCACTTCTTCTTTCTTCCCATATGGCAGAGGTTCTCAACCTTCCTCTTGTTGTGGCGACATTTAATACAGTTCCTCACATTATGGCGACCCTTTAATACAGTTCCTCACATTATGGCGACCCTTTAATACAGTTCCTCACGTTATGGTGACCCTTTAATACAGTTCCTCACGTCATGTCGACCCTTTAATACAGTTCCTCACATTATGGCGACCCTTTAATACAGTTCCTCACGTCGTGTCGACCCTTTAATACAGTTCCTCACATTATGGCGACCCTTTAATACAGTTCCTCACGTTGTGGCGACCCTTTAATGCAGTTCCTCACGTCGTGTCGACCCTTTAATACAGTTCCTCATGTTGTGGCGACCCTTTAATACAGTTCCTCATGTCGTGGCGACCCTTTAATACAGTTCCTCACGTCGTGTCGACCCTTTAATACAGTTCCTCACGTTGTGGCGACCCTTTAATACAGTTCCTCACGTTGTGGCGACCCTTTAATACAGTTCCTCATGTTGTGGCGACCCTTTAATACAGTTCCTCATGTTGTGGCAAGGCTTTAATACAGTTCCTCATGTTGTGGCGACACTTTAATACAGTTCCTCATGTCGTGGCGACCCTTTAATACAGTTCCTCACGTCGTGTCGACCCTTTAATACAGTTCCTCACGTCATGGCGACCCTTTAATACAGTTCCTCACGTTGTGGCGACCCTTTAATACAGTTCCTCACGTTGTGGCGACCCTTTAATACAGTTCCTCACGTTGTGGCGACCCTTTAATACAGTTCCTCACGTTGTGGCGACCCTTTAATACAGTTCCTCATGTTGTGGCGAGGCTTTAATACAGTTCCTCACGTTGTGGCGACCCTTTAATGCAGTTCCTCACGTCGTGTTGACCCTTTATTACAGTTCCTCACGTCGTGGCGACCCTTTCATACAGTTCCTCATGTCGTGGCGACCCTTTAATACAGTTCCTGCCGTCGTGTCGACCCTTTAATACAGTTCCTCACGTTGTGGCGACCCTTTAATACAGTTTCTCCCGTTGTGGCGACCTTTAATTTAGTTCCTCACGTTGTGGCGACCCTTTAATACAGTTCCTCACGTTGTGGCGACCCTTTAATACAGTTCCTCACGTTGTGGTGACCCTTTAATACAGTTCCTCACGTTGTGGCGACCCTTTAATACAGGTCCTCACGTTGTGGCGACCCTTTAATACAGTTCCTCACTTTGTGGCGACCCTTTAATACAGTTCCTCACGTTGTGGCGACCCTTTAATACAGTTCCTCACGTTGTGGCGACCCTTTAATACAGTTCCTCACGTTGTGGCGACCCTTTAATACAGTTCCTCATGTTGTGGCGAGGCTTTAATACAGTTCCTCACGTTACGGCGACCCTTTAATACAGTTCCTCATGTTGTGGCGACCCTTTATTACAGTTCCTCATGTTGTGGCGACCCTTCAATACAGTTCCTCATGTTGCAGCGACCTTAAACCATACAATTAATATTGTTGCTACTTCGTAACTTCAATAAATATGTTATCCTATGGTCTTAGGCGACCCATGTGAAAGGGTTGTTTGACCAAAAAAAGGTGTTAAGACTGGTAGGCTGAGAACCACTGCTGTATGGGATCTGGGACCTTATCTTAAGAGGAGCACCCAAAAAATAAAAAAAGACCCACTGCACTTAATTACGCACGTCTTACAAAGTGACTAATTAAAGGTTTGCTGAAATCGAATGAGTTGGGTCAAAGGGCACAGATATCACAGGCTGGCTGCAAACCACAATAAAATATGCCAACCTCTCATGTAAAGGTGAATGGCAAATAAGAAGATGATGAATAAACTGATACAATACAAGGTCGATACATATCTGGTACTGCGTTAAGAATCGACATCCTAGCACACAGGCCATACTCTCAGATGCTCAGTCTTCTTCTTGTCTCTACTCCTGGAAAGCCCCGCAGCATCAGCTCAGGCAGAGATCTCTGGGACGAGCCTTTCTGTTTGCTTCGTAGAAAACTGTTCAATGTCACGAAAATTGCCACAATCCATCTTTTGAGTGGTCGACCACTATATTTGTATAACATTTCTCTCTGTTGTGCTCTGCCTGTTGCTAATCTTGTTAAATGATCACACCCTTTGTTATTTTCTTCTCTTCCACCATTTACCTCAGCGAGGTGTTGGGGAGGGGGGTAGGGGTGAGGGGGGGGGGGATGTAAGGATAGTCTGTGCACATTTTTTAATCCACTGTACAAGTTGGTGTTCATTTCTGTTAGGTTGCTCCTGATGATGTCGCTCCATCTCTTACGTGGTCTTCCCCTTGCTCTGTGTTCATTATATTTCTTCAGCGTGGCTCTCTGTAGCAGTTGGTACCAGGGCATTCTCGTCAGGTGGCCAGACCATCTCATTTGTTGTTCTTAAATGAATTGTATGACTGGTTTCAGTCATAGTCTTCTTTTAATTTCTTCATTTCTGATTTTATCTCTTCTTGTCAAATCAGCAGTTCTCCTAAGACATCTCATCTCTGTTGTTACAATCTTCAGCTTATTAGGTTGTAGTAAGATAAGGTGTCTTTTGTCTACCGATAAAGTTCAGTATTGGTTCTGGTGGCGATTCTCTTCCTGATGTCCTTGTTCCTAAGTCGATCTTTCTTTGTTACACTTGGCATGGTACATAAGCATTTAATGCCTGCTTTGACTTTTTTTACTTATAACTTCGGAAGACAGTGTCCACGTCTGACGCTGATAACATAGCGTTGGCAAAAATATTGTGTTGAACAATGCTCTTCTAGTGTTCATATTCACCTCCTTGCATTTTGGTATATTGGTACTATTGCTGGATGCTTGGCTTTCTGCTGCAAAATTTGTCAGTAGCACAATGGCTGCGCTCTTACATCCTGTCTTGTTGGGTCCAAACGTAATTCCAAATTCACGCAATCTAGATAAAATGTCTCATCCAACCCTTCTTCTGATTTCTTCTGCCATGCTCGCTTACACTTATCAAGGCCCTATTTTCAATTCTGAATGATAATTCTTAACTCTTCTTGACTCTTAGTTTACTGTTCGAAGGACAACATTTAGGTGGAGTCCCAACTCTAAGTCTTCTTCTCCTTCTTTGGGTTCACAGGCTGTTAATTCAAGCGGAAAGTTCTGACTGTTCGTCCACTTCTAGAATTTAGTTCCAGAACCTGAGTTTTGCATGCACATCCATTTGACAGATCTGGCATATCTGTAAACAGATTGTTGGAGCCTCACCTATCAGGCTAATGCACTCTGAATTTGAAACACTCCTGATTAGTTAACTTTTACAACATGCTTGCTGGCATCTGTGGCTTATGAGTTGCAAACACGCTTGGTAATGTCGGTGTACCGGGTTCGATCCCAGCTGCGTATGGTTTGTCTTGTGTTGGTTTTGACAGCGGTACAGAGAGCTGACTGTTCAGAGGGCAACAGCAAACTACTGAACGTAAAATTTGTCTTTGAACATAAAATTTGTCCAAAAAAAACCACAACAGCCAAAAAAAAGATGGGGTTGATTCTGCAGCGTCATGCAAAGGATATGCAACTAACTTTGTTTGCCTGAGCCTATTCTTGTTTGTTTATTTTTTTCCTCAAAATGAGGCCCCAGAACCCACAGGGATTTGTAAGTAAGTAAGTAAAGGATCCTTTACAATTGGGACTCATATCTTTATAGATCAATTGGCACTCGGTGGGTAATGTGGCATAAACATCATACCAGCTGTCTTTACACTGCAGGACATCAACTATTGCCCATTGCATGCCTGAAAATACCTGAGGAAAATCAATGTAACATAAACATAAAATAACCCTTGACCCATTAGGATCGTGGAGGTGTATTTATGGAAGCACTAGCACATAAAACACGCTATCTTTCTGTCTTCTGCTTGTATAAGTGTGTGAAAATTTAGTCCTGTCCATTTCTTGATGTCATTCCAGGTTCTTCTTTGCCCTCCTTTTCTTCAACAACCCCCACCGAACAATTCCTTGAAGTACAGTCTTTGGCAATCAAATCATGTCTCACCACGTGCGCAAACCAAGCTAGCTTGCGACGTTTCACCACAGCCAAAAGAGGCTCTAGATGTACCACAAATTTGTAAATTTAGTCTCTGGCATATTTATTAGTACCATCAATATATAATGGGATGAATTCAAGAGGGGTAAATAAATAACAGAAATGTCTGGACAAATACTAGTAACAACAGTTAAAAGACAGAGAAGATGGCACTTTACTAGACACATTCTGAAAACAGATGAGCAGAGAATCCCCAAATAAGCACTGAAATGAGAAGCAGATGGACTGAGGACACAAGGACTTCCAGGCAAAAAACCCTTAAGTGATGAGCTGCCAAAAGTACTGGCTCAGACTCCAAGAAATCAAAGAGATTGTACAGGATGGAATGGAATGGAGAAACAGACTGTGAGCCCTATGAGATTTATAAAGGCATAAAAGGACAATTAAATGAATAAGTTAACTGTAGGCTGGGCAGACCTTCTTCTGAAACACACACAAATCCACCTTGATGTGGATACTAACTCAAGACTTTCAGGCCAGCAGGTGAGTGGTTTTGCTACAAAGGCCGCCTGATTTACTGTATTCTTTTCTTTTGCAGAACCTTCAATATCAAACTCGCACATAGCGATGAATCATCACTATGTAGCAGATGTTAGATAAAATCATGCTCTTTTCATAGCCTAGCATAAGACTAAATCTCTCCTGCCTCATGTAGCAAACCAGAGAGAACCTTGCTTTCATCATAGCTCAAGACTAAATCTTTCTACACTTCTTCTGCCTCATGAAGCAAGCCAGAGAGAACCTTGCTTTCATCATAAGAATAAATCTTTCCACACTTCTCCTGCCTCATATAGCAAGCCAGAGAGAATCTTGCTTTTATCATAGCTTAAGAATAAATCTTTCTACACTTCTTCTGCCTCATATAGCAAGCCAGAGAGAACCTTGCTTCCATCATAGCTCAAGAATAAGTCTGTCCACACTTCTCCTGCCTCATATAGCAAACCACAGAGAGAACCTTGCTTCCATCATAGCTCAAGAATAAGTCTGTCCACACTTCTCCAACTTCATATAGCAAACCACAGAGAGAACCTTGCTTTCATCATAGCTCAAGACTAAATCCTTCCACATTTCTCCATTTCTCCTGCCTCATGTAGCATATATATATATGATAATTAAAACTTTAAAATGTAAGCATAATTTTATTGACCAATTTACTTATAAAGTTTGGTTATCAAAGTCGCTAGCTACTTGTTAGATTAGACGGAAGTATAAATAGAGCAACTCTGTAGAAATGCATACACTTTTATCAAATTCAATGGTAATAGCATTAAGAGTTAACATACGCTTGTAACAGATTTGCAAGGCTCCCAGAACCCGGAGTACTGCCAGACATGAAGCTGGACATTCTGAAAGTACAATTAAAATATTTATACAATTTTTTTTGGGAAATAAAATATTAGCTATAATAAAACAGTCTTACAAAAGTAATATAACAACTTATAAAAGTAATATAACAACTTATAAAAGTAATAACAAACAGTGATAGTTATGACCTGTCCAGACAAGGATTCTGAAAAGAATTTAACAACAAAAATAAACAAAGCAGACTAAGCATTAACAATAAAGTAAAACTGCAACCTTCACTGGGAAGGTGACGAGTAGTGAGCATGCTTTGGATCTTTTCTCCAGGTCATGCTAGAGTAGTGGGTAATGAACAGGCAGATTGGCTGGATATGGGTGGTGAACTGATACATGACAAGGCAGATGTGGTCAAGGCCCTTTGGGATCAAGCAACGGAATCAGTAGAGAAACAAGATTATTGTGGCCTGGAGAGAATGAGGACTTGGGGGTAACCGGAGGGTGTGACCGGCTCACTACACTCAGAGGAAAGACAAGAAGGACATATAACCAGATTCTAACCGGTACCATCAGTATTGGGACTATGCGCCGGCTGCTAAAGATGAGGACGTAGCACGCATGAGAATGCCACGAGTGCTGCGATGTCAATTCTTGACTCAACTCAACTCAAGTAAAACTTTGATTAACCCTCACTTGTTTAACGGTCAGTTTTTTTTTATCCGACGTCTAAAATCAAAAATGTGTGAGTATCAACAGACAAACATATTTAAAAGGGTCCATGGATGACTTTACACCCTACAGTACAAAGATGTAAGTTACTGTACTGTGTGTTGGCGGAAGTGACTATACTGTGTGTTGGTGTATGTTTGCATTATGTATGCATGTAGGTGTATGTATGTATGTATGTATTAAGTATGTCTGTATACGGCTGTGTATGTGTACATATAAGAATGTAAGAGTATGTGTATGTGGATGTGTGTGTGTATACATGATGTGTGTATGCACTATTCTATAAAGTATATTTTTTTAAATATAAACAAAACATGAATTATGGATAACAGGAATTGGTACTCTGAAAGATGAGTGCTCAAAAGTGTCAGACGGGCCTGCGTGCCCACTCTGCAACCCTTTGAAAATAAAGTTAGTTCGTTCGTGACTGGCACAAAATAATATTTCACACTTAAGAAGTATAGCAAAAGTACTCACATTTGCTGTATCTGAGGATTTGACATAATGGTTGTGGCCTGAAAAAGATACAATGAAGGCAAAAATGATACTTGTTATAATTATATTCCAATTAAAATTATTACTTATTAGTTCGTACTTGTTCTTTAGCAGTCTCAGCCCTTAAGGTTCACTGCTGCAGACGTCACCAACCTCCATTCATCTCTCTGACGGTTTTTTTCCTGTTCAGTTCCTCAAGTATGTCTACCCATATATTATCTGCCCACTATCTTCTTGGTCTGCCTCATGGTCAACACTAATTCTTTTACTTTTTTTTATTGCTAGTTTTTTTTTTATAACAATTATAATGTTTGCAAATACACTGGCAACTATGAACCTTTTTTAACTACAGTAAAGAGGCGAAAAATGCAATTATTGGACATGTAATAAGATCTAACGGCCTCTTTGAAACAATACTACAGGGCTCAGTCGAAGGAAAAAGGAGAAGAGGCAGACCAAGAAAGACCTGGTTACAGAACCTGACTGACTGGACAGGCCTCAGGCATGCAACCATGAAGTCCATCGTAAATGACCGCCAAAGATGGAGAAAGCTGATCAGACAGTCAACAGAAACTGGTGACCAACGACACGTAGTGTTACGGGATGATGATGATGATGAATGTTTATTTCCTACATAAATAATGCTCCCAGATCGACAGAACCTAAACTGGGTTCTCAGAACCATAAAATGGGTTCTCAGAATCACAAACTGGGTTCTCAGAACCATAAAATGGGTTCTCAGAACCATAAAATGGGTTCTCAGAACCATAAAATGGGTTCTCAGGACAACAAAATGGGTTCTCATGGGACCAATCAGTAGAGGTACCATGGAGTGGCTGCTGCATTGAAAAACTGAGCTTGCATGGGAGGGCTGAATATCAAGAGGCATTAACTGCGACAACATGACAGAACAAAACACATACCAATATTAAGTATTAAACATATACATACAACAGTACCATATTGACTATATTTGGGTCACTAAAAAGGGTACCAAAGTCAACATTGCCTAGTGATCCTAATGGGCCCAAATTTGCTGCAGGTCCTGTACTGAATCCAGCCTGAAAGAAACCATAGAATTACACATTTGAAAAAAACTAATTAGATCTTTCAAACTTGAAAACAACTGGATAGATAAGAGAACAAACAGATCAATCCAACAGAGACACAATGCAAATATTTTAAAATTAACTTTAAATCCTCATCATGTAGCAGGTCCTTTGCAGAACGTCGCTCTCATCAGTCTGCCTAAAAGAAACTCGGTCTCTTGCCAGTTCTCCTGCCTCATGTACTTTCATACTCAAGGAGTCACTTATATCCTGTGCCCATATTCATGTAAGTCGGCCCCTGCCCCTCCTTCCTGGTACCATGCCTTCTGCTATAGTTTTTTCCCAATCCGTTGTGGCGCTTGATATGACCAAAATATTTCAGCTCCTGAGAAAGGATGCTGTTTATTAGCCAGTTTTCCTTGATGTTCAGATCTTTTAAGATGTCAATATTTCTCCTCTTCTTTGTACAAGATATTCTGAGAATCTTTCTATAGCATTTCAGCTCCGTACGTAGCCACAAGGAAGATGCATGCTCTCAAAATTCTAATTTTGATCTCCTTGCTGGTGCTTAAACATAGACTTTTAAGGCTGTTTAATCTTTGCATTGCTATGGCCATCCTCCTTTTAATTTCTATTGAAGTCTCCACTGCTGTTTATTATAGAGCCTAGATATTCAAAGTTTGTGACATTTTCAATTTCTTCTTCATTTATTGTTATTTTGTGGGTGACAGCCAGTTTTATCTGTGGACATTATTTTCATTTTCTTTAAATTCAAGAACAGATATTGATCTTCACTGTGCTTTTGGACAGCCAAAATTAAATTTTCTATTCCCTTTAAGCCGTTCGAAAGGAGGACTGTGTCATCTGCGTAGCTGAGTTCCTAACTTTCAATACTGACAAAAAAATTAATTTCCTCTATCCCCTGTGTGGGTTCGGGAGCCCATTTTGGAGAACAAAAAGGCGCCCCCCCCCCCCCCCCCACCCCCAGTAGGTGACAACTAATTAGTTGAACTGCATCTGCTCAAGAGCTGGGAAACCAATAGTTTGCATACAAATAAGCTGGATCTGAAAAACAGATGTGCATGCAAAACTCAAATTGTGGATCAAAACCAAAGTCCAGGAGTGGATGAACAACCGTAACCTTTCTGCCAGAGTTCACAGCTGGTGAACACTAAGGAGAAGAGCTCCTTCTATACAAGAAACACACCAGTTCATTTGTTAGCCAAAAACTGTCTCTTTTTGTAGACCTATTCTATCGCAGACAGCTGGTACTCACTATTTCTAAATTCCCCCATGTGGGTTCCAGGGGCCCTATTATAGGGAAAACAAGAATAGACCCACTGCCTGCCCAAAAGTAGGTCGTAAGAGCCGAAATTGGAACCTTCTTTCGAAGTTGGAGTTCATCTGCTTGAAAGGCAAGGAACCAACAGTCTGCACACAAATGTGTCAGATCTGTCAAACAGATGTACATGCAACACTCAGGTTCTGGAACACGACTGCACTGAATTGTCAGTATGGTTACACCCATCCAAGAAAGTATTTTTAAACCCTTTCAATTTAAATATTTTTGGTTTAAATAAGAACAGTGTAAGCTAATATGTTTGCATTTTTTTTAAAATACAACAGCCTTCACATAATTTAGGTGATGAAACACAAATTAATGACTAAATGACTCAATCTTCTTCTACTTTTGTTCACATGAACAGAATACCTTTATCTGTAATCTTGTCTCTAGTATGAACTTCACTGTATTTCGCAATTTGCTTAGCGACCTGTAAAGGTTGGCTTCCACTGGTGTTTCTCTTGGCAAAAGTTTTGCCTTAATATGTTGGATTTTGGACAGTCCTTGAGAATGTGATCTGTTGTCTTTGGTGCTAATCCACATGCGTACATGGCAGATTCACCAATTTTAGATTTTGTGAACATGTGACATCTGTAAAACTGATTTCATGGAAACTTTTAAAAATTGGATGGCACCCAGTGTTATAGGCTGAGTTAACCTCAAAATCATTCTGGTTGTTAAAAAATTTGTTTAATGAAGATAAAGGAGACAAACATTGCAGACAGGTTAGGAGTTGACCGTCTGGGAAGAAGCCCATTAAACACAGGCTATGGCAACAATATGTTGAGAAACCTGAAAACAATATAACTAGAATGTCTCTGCACTGGAACCCACAGGGGTGTAGAAAAAAAGGAATACATACAAAGAAAAACACAAGGAGAAGTGAGCTAGAGAGTGAAGTTTAAAAAAATGGGGAGCTGCATGAAGTAGCAAACGACAGAATGACCTGGTTGAGAGCCTATGCTCCACTGGGGATTAGAAAGAAGAAAGGCAACAATGATCATGTGGTCTTGTTGTGGAAGATGAGCGGGTCTTGGTAGTCGCACTCACCATCACCAGTGGCTGTAATCATATGCCTTTGTAAGTCACAATACAACAGCATCGTCTATACAGACAGAAAGATGCCAACAACTATTGATGCAAACAAGAGCTTCTTCTTCTTCTTTTGTCATCTCACTGATACCAGGTTGTAGCCCAGTGTCGTTGGTTTTATGTATGTCTTGCGCTTCTCGGGTGGCTTAGGTGATGGATTTGTTCATCTTTTTGCAGGTTTCATCTACACCATTTGTCCATCTCTTTCTTGGTCTTCCTCTCACCTTCCTTCCGGATGTTTTACTGTAAAAAGTCTCATATGCAGTCTGGTCTGGCTGAATTCTCACTAGATGGCTGAACCATTTCATTCTCTGTCAATATAATTCAGACACTGTCTTATTCCAACTTTCTAATACTGGTATTCGTAAACCTGTCTCTTTTTGTATTATTAGTGACCTTGCAGAGACAATGCATTTCCCATGTGGTTATTTTATATTCTAGTGCCTTATTCATTGTCCATGTTTGGCACTGATAACAAAAGTAGGGACACAGATGCTGTTGATAATTTGCTGTTTTGCTGGAATGGAGACATTTGGGTGTCCAAGCAGTGGGGCCCACTGGTAAATGACAGCATTTGTCTTCTGTACTCTGGCTGGCAAACAAGAAAACTAATCATTAATCTACTTCTGCTCCACGAATAATAAACTGAAAAGAAAAAAAAAACAATTAGTAGAATGCTTAGCTCATACCCTTGCTGCATTTTCTTTCATTTTCTGTTCAGCGATATCTAAATTATTCTTGTAGCTTTGGTTCTCAGGGTCCAGCTCTAGAGCCTTGCGATAACATTCATATGCACTTTCATGGTTCTCCTGCGCGGTGAAGGCAATGCTGGTGAGAAAGAGTACAAGTGATAATGAGTAACAAACATGTGACAGTTTATTATTTTTATAGCCTGAAAGAATACGACCATTCACATATCAGCTGTGACAGCTGTAGGGGTGCTCAGTCATCTTTTACCATTTAGTTCCAAACATCGTGCCATGTGGCATAATGACTGCAAGTCAATGAAAATCATTTTCAGAGGAAATGGGTTTTCCATCAATTGTTCTGATCCTGCACCAGTAGAAACCACAGAGAATGTCGATTAGACAACAGCATACACACACACATGCAATTTATAAGACAGCTGTCTGAAGTGCCAGTACAAACAGTCTGCCACTATAACTGCAGTTCCTTGTCGATGGAAGCAGTAATTACATTTAATCAGCAGTTGCACATGCTCTAGTGCAGCAGTTCTCTACCTATGGTTTTGTGGGTCGAACCTTTCACAGGGGCGGCAAACGACCATCAGAAAGCACATTTTCACTGAAGTTATGAAGAGGTAACGAAAATAATTGTATGGTTAAGGGTTGCCACAACATGAGGAACTGTATCAAAGGGTCGTCGCATTAAGAAGGTTGACAGCCACTGCTCTAGTACATAAGGAACAACAAGTTCTGTGGCAAAAGGCCACTCACCATTTTCTAAATCTGCAGTTCATCTCACACACAAAACCAAGCATAAAGGCAGGGGTGTGCGCACGCACGTGCACACACACAAGGACCCAAAACAGCACCAACATACCAGACCAACACATACAGGAAGGGACATCAGAGTCAACCGACAGGGATAGTGAGCAATTGAATACGGCACAAGAAGAGTTAAAAGAGCTAGCTGAGCATGGCCAGACCCACCAACACCCTCTCAACTCACATTAGACAGCTAGAAACACATGGTTTAGAAAGGGCCAACCCTAACACAATGAAGTTGATGCTCTCACCTGAAAATTACACTCTTATGGGTATATTATTGTTTCCGACCCGGTGGACTTACCCCATTCGACCGTAAGCTTTGCTGTAGGAGGGATCAATGGCCAGGGCCCTGTTGCAGTCATCAATGGCCAGCTGGTGCTTATTTAGTTGGCTGTAGGCTGCTGCCCTACAGAGGAACACACACAAAGCAGAAGATCACAAATATATCCAGAAAAGAACAAGCCTTTAATAATTTAAAGAATGTGTGAAAGCAAAAGGAATTAAATTTCTTCTTCACATTCACCGGCTGTAACCTCAGGCGGAAAGTTGTGGTTGTTTATCCACTTCCAAACTTTAGTCTTGTTTCCAGACCGGAGTTTTGTGTGAGTATCCATTCAACAGATCTGGCTATTTTTATGCAGACTAAAGATTTTTTTTTTTGCCTCTCAGGTATATGCACTCCGATTTCGATGGAAACAGCCCTAATCAGTCAACTCTTTCACCATGCTTGCTAGGGGGCATTCTGCAAAGGACCTGCTACATGATGAATTGGAAGAGAATAACAGCAAAAGGCACGGTGCCAGGAAAAATGGATAGGGGCACAGTATATAAATGACAGTAGGGTAGGAAAGTGGATGAGTCAGGTGAGCTGATTGGTGTGTCCGAGTTTCTTTCAGGCAGACCATGGTGAAAGCAGTATTCCACAAAGGCCCTGCTACCTTACAGTGACATACAGTAGTACAAGCAGAAGTATCTCTTTTAGACTTCTGCCACATTTGGCACAGGATGCTAGACCAATATTTTTATAGGCCAACTTCTTCTTCTTCGCATTCACCAGCTGTGAACTACGATAGAAAATTCTAGTTGTCTATCTACCTCTGGACTTAAGCCTTGTTCCAGAACCTGTGCATTGTGTGCACACCCATTTAACAGGTATGACTTAACTGTTGGTTCCTTGCCTCTCTCAGGCAGATGTACTGCTGCTTGGAAGGAAGCCCCTGATTAGTCAAATCTTACGATGTGTTGGGGAGGCAGAGGGTTCGTTCTCGTTTTCCCTACAATGGGGCCACAGAACCCACACAGAGAGTAGCTGGTTGTGTATCCTTTACAGGACGTTGCAGAACCAACCCCAACAGCTCCTGGCTGTTGTGTGGTTTTTCTAGGCAAATTTACATCTAGTAGTTTGCCATTGTTTTCTGGACGGTCGGCTTTCTGGATACCACTGTCGAAACCAACGCAAGGTGCATGGCCTGCAGCTGGGATTGAACCCGGCATCCTGGCATTATGAAGCGTTCGCATCGACTTAGCCACAAAGCCGACACAGAGAGTAGACCAATTGATAATCATTGGGTGATGTGGTCAAGATCACACCGCCCGCCTTTACCTCCCGAGACATTACCCATTTTAGGTTAGGTTAAACTCTCCTCCTCCTGGGCATTCACTAACCTTTAATGCACATAAACAATCACTGACAGCCAACCAGCTCAGAAAAGCTAAAGTTGCTTTCAAATACACCAAAACAGACAGAGAAATAGAAATTGTTACATAGCATGTACCTGTTGCAAAAATAGACAGCATTTCTTGAATCGAGTCTTATTGCTTGTGAATAACTTTCGAGAGCTTCTGAAAACCTCTCCTGTTTCATGAAATCATTTCCTAACAAATAAATAAGAAGGGAGAAACATATTAATAAATAACCGGCAAGGCTAACCCGCAACAACAAATGCCCGCAGAAGTCAAATGTGTTGGCCGAAAGGTGCAAATATTGCAGCCATGCTGTAAACGGACACAACGCAATTACATCTTTGGATAAACGCAGAAGAAGAAGAATATTAATAAATAAGACAATGTTAATAAAGGAAAACTAGTCTCCTCTGGCAAAATATTACATATGTAAAGTATACCTACAATATAGAAATCATATAGCAACATCATGTAAACAGACCAGACCCACCTTAATATTCAATAAACATTTTGAATTTAAAAAAAACAAGAAAAGCAAGAAAAAAGAAAAAGAAAGAAATAAAGAAAGAAAGTAAGAAAGGAAAAAAACTAAATATGCAAATACAGACAAGGTAAAGAAGAAAAAAAATTATAATGCTTTTGGAGAACGGCGGTAACATAAATGGCTAGACGTTCAGTGTGGGCACGAAGGTCTTCGGTTTGAATCAAACTGCACGGGGGTCAGATTTATTTTCAAAACTGAACAGGATTCCCTGGTCAACCTCACCTAAAATGGGTATCAGGCAGCAGTCTAGGAGGTAAAGGCGGACGGCACGATGCTGAACACATCACCTAGGAAGTGCTGATTGGTATACAAAAAATATGCCTCATGTGATACTATAGTCCATCCCAAAAGTCCTGACTAACTTTAAAAATCTGTAATTCAGTAACAGTTCAGTGTAAATTGTTGAAATTTAGCATGCAGTATGTTAATAATCATGTCCATGCAAGCTAAATTTTTTTTTTTTAATGTAAAAAAACATCAAGTTTTCAGTTTGCCTTATTTTTTTTGTGATTTGCGAAAAACCAGACACTGATTCAAACCAAACAATCATCATGCTTACAATAACTTGAGTAAACTGAGTAAGGGAAACTTTTCAAAACATCAAACTGCACACGTGTCATATGGATTTTACTTTCAGGTGGTCATCTCCAGCATAGTCTTCAGTGAGCTGCAGATTTTTCATTGAGTGGGGAATAGGTTATCAAAATAATTAAAAGCGCTTCGCTGCACATGTGAACTGTAATCTCCGGCGGAAAGTTCTGGTTGTTCGTCCATCTGGAATTTAGTCTTGTTCCGAACTTGAATGTTGCATGTACATCCATTTTACAGATCTGACTTATCTGTTTGCAGATTTTTTGTTTCTTCCCTCCAAGGCAGATGCACTCCGACTTCTAAGGAAACCCTCAATTGGTGAACTCTTACGACATACTTGTTGGGTAGGCAGTGGGTCTATTCTTGCTTTCCCCACAATGAGGAACTCACATGGGGGGGGGGGGGGGGAGAATGAGAGAGGACCACCCCCCTCCCCCGCAAAATACTGATGCTAGGGAAACAACGCAGGATGGGATGCCACTCTACGGAAGTCAGTGGCCAGGCTGACATACTTCTTAGCTCAAAACTAAAGTTAAATGCATTTAAAAACAAACGCCTGGGGAACATGATGAACATAAAGTGGGATGAATTGAACAGAGGTGAAGAAATAAGAGAAAAACTACTAGTATCAACAGCTATAAGACAGGGAAGATATATATTGGGCCCATTCTATGGGATGAGCAGAGAATCACCACACAAACACTGAACTGAGAAATACAAGGATTGAGGAGACAAGAACACACAAGAGAAACCTAAAGGCGAAAGCTGATAAGAGAAACCAAAGCTGCTGGAATGGACTCTATCCAAAGTGACTGCACGGACAGAATGGAATGGAGAAATAAGACTGTGAGCCCTGTGTGAAAAATAATGGTACAAAAGGACAAAGAATGAATGAACGAACAAATTCAATTGCAATGTCCCACCTTTATTTTTAAGTCTCTCTGCTTCCTCTTTCTGCTCTGGGGTTGCTTCATGTAACGACAAAGATGACGTGAAGTCTGCTTCTGCCTAAATTGATCATATAAAACAATAAATACTAGTTACACTATAAAGGTAAGCTCAAAAGCAGATGATGAAATTATAATACAGTTGCAGCACACCCTCAAATGGGGAAATTCCAGCAAGCCTATCTGCCTGCTCATTCCCAAACACACCTGAATAGCCCGGAGACAAAATACCCATGTGACTCTCACCACATGTGACCTCTGGATTAATATAGTCCACTCCATACAAAGAAAACATGACTCCACCTTCCAAATATAACAATCCTGTTCTGGGTTGATTGTCTAAATTGGAAACTTCATCAATGCAGTGCCTGTTATAGCCTAGTCTTTGTAAGTGCCAGCCGCCAAGGAATATTTTGTTGGTGCAGCATATATATGAGACCTCTGCTTTTTTTGTGTGTGCGCACGTGTGTGCGTGCGCAAAAGCGGTCGTGTTGCTTCACACAATAACAAGGTGAGATAATGGCATCCGTCAGTCCCTGGGAACAATGGAGATGTGCTGATGGCTTTGAGAACAACGTCTGCTGTGACTGTAAAGTCTGATGCGTAAGTGGCAGTCTCTGTCACATAGGATACACACACAAAAAGCAGATGCTCCCTCGCTATGGGGCTGATTTACTCACTGGCGTCTCCTCCTTAGAGCTCACTGCATTTAGTTTCTTTAAAAATGCGACAAACCGTCTTTCACTTTCTATCAAAATAGTAGTCGATCTGCAGCTGATTTTGTCCAAAGTCTCTGTGCCTATCTTGGTATCTATCAGGTCACGTTTGCATATGTCTTTATAACGTAGCTTTGGCCTTCCTTTAGGTCTATTTCCTGCTTCCAGTTCACCGTACAGGAGGTCCTTTGGAATACGACTATCCTCCATGCAGGAGACATGTACTAGCCAATGCAGACATCTTTGCTTCAATAGACAGTACATTATTGATTTTTTTGCTCTTGTGAGTAAACATTTGTTTGAGACAAGGTCTCACCATGATATACCAAAGCTGCGCCTCATACAGCGAATGTGGAAGGTAGTCTCTTTTCTTGAGGGGTATATAGTCTAGGACTCACTACCATACAGCAGTGTGCTCAAGACACAAGACTCATAAACTTTCATTATGGTATTATTAGTCAACTTGTCATTAGACCAGACTCTCGTAGTGAGGTTTGAAAACAGTGCAGAGGCCTTTCCTATACGACTATTTAAATCTGCACCATGTAATGACAAAGATAGTGAGAATCTGCTTCAGACACACACAAATATTCAAAGCAATGTTTACCGTTGTAAATTTAAACAAAGGCACAAACACTGGATTGCACAATTTATCGCTTGGCATATTTCGCTGTATCTCGTCAAGTGCATGCTGCAGTTACATTGCAATAAATAAATGAATTAAATAAGTGAATCCTTTACAACTGACATATAAATTCAAACACTCTCAGAAGCAGCTGCCTGTTTTACCAGGGAAATCACATTGTAACAACCATGTCTTTCTGTTTACAAAGTTCTGGACGGAGATAACAAACAGTAGCGGCTTTAAGAAATCTTAGCGATCTTCATTGGATCAGGTATGAAGAATCTTAAACGCAAAAGGCATTAACAGAGCTACAAATGGCGCCCATATTGAAAGTGTACTAGGAAAATTCTAAAACCTTAAACTTTTCTGAATATTTTAAGAAGCCATCTGAGTATATCTATTAAATACTTTTTTATAATAAAAGTTTCTCAGTGACACTGTATAAAAGAATGTTGAATGATCAGCACATATAGAAGAAATCTGAATGATTAGAACATACAGAGGAATACTGAATAATCAGCACATAAAGAAGGTAAAGGTTAAGTGGGAGATGTGAACCAGCGTCATTGCACACTGTTATAAACCATAAGTGCTCTGCCACCAGAACGGACAGCTGATAAGAATCTGTCCCCCTGTGTCGCTGTCCACACCTAACTCCGTAGCTACAGCGACATTCCTCCATTTACCCCAGAGTGTTAACACTGGTACCCATTACCTAGAGGCTGGGTGTACCCTAGGAAACGCCTGGTTTCAAAAAATGGCCGTGGGCTGCAGCAAGTACATAAAAAAGAATGCTGAATACACTTACCTGGTTTAGATGGGAAGTGAAGATATCCAGAAGACCCCGCGGGACTGCATACTGCTTCACAAACTTCTCTTCGCTGGTATTTACCTGATAAACTTGTTCTAAGCACTGTATGGCAACTGTAAAAGTGGTAGGGTAGAAGATAATCATACTCATAAATCATTACTACTTTGGTTGAATGTGGTCTTCATCACTCATGATGAAGAAATCACATATGCATTATAGTTAAAGATTTTTGACATCACTGAATTCAGGACAAGCCCATATTAGCTCCATCTCCCTCCACAACAGCCAGCGATGAGTTTCCACCCTGATCGTAACTGTTGTCGTCTGATTAACTACTTGCCTTCCCTGAGAGTCTTGGGTGGCACCCAGAGCCCATAGCCACTCTTTGCTGTGTCATTCTCCCCAGGTGCAGGTTTTCAGTATCTTCCATTTTACCTGTTACCCCGTCTGACAGGTTTGAGATCACCTCTTTTTTGTACAGTTGCAGCACACCCTCAAATTAGGCCATTCCAGCAAGCCTATCTGACTGCTCATTCCCAAACACACCTGAATAGCCTTGAGACAAAATATCCATGTGACTCTCACCACATGCGACCTCTGGATTAATATAGTCCATTCCATACCCAAAAAAAACTGACTCCACCTTCCTGAGCTTGCTTTGCAAGTCCGACACTATGACAACATGTGTAACTGATTTTTTTTTCCACCCATCGGAACGCCACAATTACCGCCTCAACCTCCATTCTCATGCTGGCTATGGTAATGTCACATGTCAACCTCTCTTCCCTTATCCTTCTCTCCCCATGATTTTGCAACGCAAGCCTTCTCCACTTCTCCCGCCCCTGGCAACAGACCCATATGAATATACAAGGTCCGACAATTAAGTAATGAGACTGATTTTATTACGGCCAAGACAAAAGTGCCATCTATGAAGCAAAGCATCAAATCCAAAGAGGTAACCTTTATCTATGATCTGGCAACTTTGCATCACCACCTGATAAGGAGACGACAAATAAGCTGCCTTTTTATTGGCCTAGTGCATTGTAAATAGAACATGTTGTGACTATTGGAAAGATCTGTGGAAGAAGGGATAGAGGAAGACAACGAGAGAAGATGCTTGACAGTCTTGTTGCATGGCATGGAGGTGTGTCGGCACACGAACTGATACAAGCTGCAGGAGATCGCAGATTATGGAGAGGCATGATCTCCCACGCCAGTCGGCAAGGCACCTGATGATGATGAGTGCATTGTTACGAAATCAGCATGGAGCTAAAAGCTAAGATTAAATTATGTTTAAAACTCAGAAAAAGCGACACCAAGGCAGTTGAATTGATGCAACAAGTTTATGGGGATAATTGTTTATCTCGTGCACAGATTTTCAGATTTGGTATTCACAATTCAAAAGTGGTGTAGAAATGATTACTAATGCAACTAGACCTGGTCGCCCAATTTCTGTTTGTAATGATGAACTCATTGCAAAAGTCACGGAACGGATACCATGTATATATGTTATGCATAAGTGACATCATGTTAAATATGTATGTATGCATAGAAAATGACATCAGCTTAGCCTGGTTTTGTAAAATACTTCCATACTGTCACACACGTTTACTGCCTGGTTTTGTAAATGATTACTTCCATACTGTCACACACATGTTTACTGACATTATATAAACATTTATGATCAAATATAGGCAAGCAGTCTGCAATGGCATTAGAGTGCTGTTTGCTTATGGCCAAAATCTGCACTAGTATTTTCTTCATAGACCTGTGGTGCATGGTACACTGCCCAACTACTGCAGCAAGTGCTTAGTGCAACACTGTAAAGTGTATATTTCATGTAGAATGCACCCTATGTGGGTTCCAGGGCCCCCATTTTTGAGGAAATAAGAAGAAACACAATGCTTCCTAAAAAGCAAGTCCTAAGAGGCAACTAATCAGAGGTTTTCCCTTTTTAATCAAAGTGCATTTGCCTGAGAAGCGAGGAACCAACAGTCTGCATAAGCAAGATCTCTAAAATAGATGTGCATGCAAAATTCAATTTCTGGAACAAGACTCAAGTCCAGAAGTGGACAAACAACCACAACTTTCCTGACAGAGTTTACAGCTAGTGAAAGTGGACAAACAACCACAACTTTCCTGACAGAGTTTACAGCCAGTGAAAGTGAAGAAAAAGAAGATGTGAAATGTTTTATCATCCGTGTCCATTGTGGTCTGTGTTAAGAACTGCCTGTCACATGCGGGTGTGCACTAGAACGCGCCAGTACTGAGTGAGCAAATAGGACGTCAAAACTATATGTAATGTCATTAAGGTATTGTTGTCAGAGCATTCGATGTTTACAGTCTGAAGGAGACAGACGTGTGGATCCTTGAGGACGTTATACCTCGGGATGCCACTTAAAGAAGTTGTATAAAGTTGGATCCTTGAGGATGCTTTACCCCGGGATGCCACTGAAGGAATGGTAATCAAAGTTGGATCCTTGGGGATGCTCTACCCCGGGACTCTACTATAAACCTCAGCAGAAAGCTGGTATAGTGTCTACTACGCTCGGCAGTAAGCCGGTATACTTATACTGCCTTGTTCAGACTGCAGAAGAGAATATTGAGATGACCGTCCAGACTTCCAAGGTCGGATTGAGATCGATGTCATTGTCCGGATTCCAAGGTTGGATTGAGATCAATGTGATTGTCCAGATTTCCAAGGTCGGATTGAGTTTGAGATGACTGTCCGGATTTCCAAGGTCGGACTGCGACCCGTCATTTGTTATGAAGTCAGTTGATGTACGAGTGGGCTTGGGTTGGTGTGTTTGGATGAGTCTGTGAGTCTGGAGTTTATTTAATTACACATTTTCTCATCTGTTGATCGAGTGTTTTTATCAAAACACCAGTTGGAACTTAACTCATAGCGTCGTTATTCTACCATTTGTAAGCATTGGAGTTAGTTTCTACTGTTCTACCTCACTTGGCCTATTTCATCATTGGTACGCCACACATCACCATCGCAGCCTTTGCCGCACGCCAAAATGAGCTCGCTGCATGTCACACTGCACATATAGAAAATATTGGGTGGTCAGTAGCGAAAGATTCTTCAGCAATGAACTGAAGTTCTAGAGGTAGGCTGTTAGAAAAGGCGACATTTATAGGGGTAAAGGACAAACCGGAATTGTTGGTTTTGCGGCTTTTCTGAGCTTCTCCTTAAAGTCCATGCTGCGTGGCGTTGGTAGTGATGTCTATCCATAACCTGCTATCTTATGTACTTTCAATCAACACCGACACAGATGAGCCTCCTTGCCATGACGTTAAACTGCCTAGCATCTTCTGACTCAAGTCTTCCTCTGCTTCTCTTCCACTCCACCAAATCCTACTGTCACGATGTACTCCAGTTTTCTCCTTTCTCCATAGAGAATGTAGTCTCTTCCTGATGTGGGCAATCAGTTCTCTTCATAATTTAGTTTCTTTCTCGAAATCTTCATTACTCTTTTTATTTGTCCAGGGTATTCTCATGATTTGTCTATAAAATCACATCTAATGTTTCACTAATCTGCCAAATGTCAATGATTGACTTTCATACATCAGGAAAGGATTTCCGAGCTAAATGATTAAATTTCTTCTTCTGGTTTTATTCACTGATAAAGACTGATTAAAACCATCTTGGGTTGTATCTATGCACTTTTCCTCACCGCCCCCCTCCCTCACCTGTGTTTCTTTGTCATAGTTCGTGTTTAGTCAAATTATTTATTCCCATAAGCTTGGCTGCCGTCACCCTAATTTTCAAAATATGAAATCAATCAGACACTAGAGAGTGGCTGGCCAACTGGTTACAAATACTAGGCTCTCGTGCCGGAGACCCAGGTTTAAATCCTCTGTAAAAGTGTGGACTTTTTCTTTCGGGGTTAAAAATGAGATCCTAATCTGTACAGTTTTTGGCAACAGCACTAACCATCCGGCCTCTAATCCTTAGACTCAAAGACATTGCAAAAGAGGTAAATAAAGGCAGTGAGGGCAAGAGAGAAATGGCAGGTGTTAAACAGCTTCCCCATGCGAGTTCCAGGACCACACTTTTGAGCAGAAAAGAGAAACTGACCGGCTATTCCTTAATAAGTATGTCACAAAAGAGGATTGAGCAAGGATTTGCTAAAATTAGATGTACTGGCCCAAAAAGTGCAAATATCACATGGCTCGATTGATTGGCAACTTTTCATCTTTCCAAATGAGAAGGCATGGGACTCACAGCCCATGGAGATGGCGGGTGCGACTAGAAAGACCCGCCCGTGTTAAGAAAAAGTCGGCTCTCCTGTCAACTACAGCCGGTAGACAACAGTAAACGGCCGGTTAGTCGGAGTTCTGTCCCCTGGCTGCAGTGCTTTTACGGACTGGACAGGAGGAAACGAAACAAATAACATAATTACAGTGTGTTGGCGATAGACAGCGTGCACTGCCCTGCAATGATCATACGATTAGGGTTTGGGTTAGGGGTAGGGTTTAAGTTAGGTTTAGGGTTAGGGTTACGGTTAGTGTCGCCGCATCTCGTCTCGCACAAACTCAAAGTAGCAACCTAAACCCTGAACCTAACGCTAAACCTAACCCAAACGCTAATCGTATGATCATAGCAGGGCAGTACACGCTGTCTATCGCCAACACACAGTAATTATGTCACTTTTTTCGTTCCCTCTAATCCACTCCGTAATGCGTCGCAAGAAGCGGTAATTGAACGGGTCGCTAATTTGAGTCGCAGCGCGGGGTCTGCAAGGCATGTCGACCTCACTTTGTTTTTTTATTCGTGCCTTCTCCAGTCCGTAATTGCACTGCAGCCAGGGGACAGAACTCCGACTAACCGGCCGTCTACTGTTGTCTACCGGCCGTAGTTGACAGGAGAGCCAAAAAGTCTTCCCCAATTATAGCATGGAATTTCATGACCGTTGTTGTCAAACATTTGTGTTTAGTGTGTTTCTTCTCTGAGGCTCAGCTCTCAACCTTTTTGCAATCCTTTCTTCTTTCACTCCCATTCCCTTCCTGATGTGCCCCCTGCACACAAAATGATCCATGGCATTAGCAAATATTACAGCCTAGCTGTAAACCACAAACTAACATGACATCTACCGTATAAGGGCACACATAGAAATTACAAAATTAGCATCTAAATATAATCAAGAACTAACCCTCTAAACTCTCTAAAGCTTCGTCATCAAACTGGCCCGATGACTTCTGGTCTTCAAAAAACCTCAGAATTGCAAAGACCAGCTTGTTAACATCTGCCATGTCTGTTCCTGGTGGGCACAGCAACAAGCACTAGACTGAAAGACAAAAGGAATGCCTGTTAAACAGCCTCAAGCACTACACTGAGCTGTGAAAGACACAAAATGAATGCCTGTTAAACAGCTCCAAGCACTACACTGAGCTGTGAAAGACACAAAATGAATGCCTGTTGAACAGCTCCAAGCACTACACTGAGCTGTGACAGACATAAAATGAATGCCTGTTGAACAGCTCCAAGCACTACACTGAGCTGTGACAGACACAAAATGAATGCCTGTTAAACAGCTCCAAGCACTACACTGAGCTGTGAAAGACACAAAAGGAATGCCCGTTAAACAGCTCCAAGCACTACACTGAGCTGTGAAAGACACAAAATGAATGCCTGCCTGTTAAACAAAATGAATGCCTGCCTGTTAAACAGCTCCAAGCACTACACTGAGCTGTGAATGACACAAAATAAATGCCTGTTAAACAGCTCCAAGCATTACATTGAGCTGTGAAAGACACAAAATGAATGCCCATTGAACAGCCTCAAGCACTACACTGAGCTGTGAAAGACACAAAATAAATGCCTGTTGAACAGCTCCAAGAACTGCCCGCTGTGAAAGAACATGCCTGCAGCTCCAAGCACTACACTGAGCTGTGAAAGACACAAAATGAATGCCTGCCTGTTAAACAGCTCCAAGCACTACTGACTGAGACACAAAATAAATGCCTGTTGAAAGCTCCAAGCACTACACAGCTGTGAAAGACACAAAATAAATGCCTGTTGAACAGCTCCAAGAACTAGACCGAGCTGTGAAAGACACAAAAGGAATGCCCGTTAAACAGCTCCAAGCACTACACTGAGCTGTGAAAGACACAAAATGAATGCCTGCCTGTTAAACAGCTCCAAGCACTACACTGAGCTGTGAATGACACAAAATAAATGCCTGTTGAACAGCTCCAAGCACTACACTCAGCTGTGAATGACACAAAATAAATGCCTGTTGAACAGCCCCAAGCATTAAAATTAACTGTCAAATGAATAATAAATTAAACTAAACCTCAAAGCAATGTCTGTCAGGTGTAAGCACAATTATTATTGGGCATTTTTTAAACTGTATCTCGTCAGGTGCACACTACAGTAACAATTTAGTAAAATAAAGCAATCAAATGGAAAGTGGTTGATTTTGTATTTTAGTTGTAAAGGTATTCCTTTATTAGCTTCATTTTATTTAATTACTAGTGTAGTACGCACCTGACTAGATTCAGTGAAATATATCAGGCATTAAACTGTGCAATCTAATGTTTGTGTCTTCTTTGTTCAAAGTAAACTATAATTACTGCAACTGTAATTTTGTCTTATTATTGTAATGAAATATAGGCAGAAAGGGGTTAAATGAACAAGCATACATTTCAGACCACCACACGGCGTACTAATCCATCACTGTGTGAAATGACAGAAATAGGTGATTAGAAAGCCATGGCCTAGCCAGCTATGCAGAACACACCGCCATGACATCTGACAGTGAGGGATGAAACATTCGACGAGTGCCCGTGAACTGTGACCAGCGGATGAGATACGTTCATCCAGACGTGACCACCAAAGACAGGTGACAGAGAAGTGATGGAGAAGGTACGCCAGGAGGAGCGGGGAAAGCGGGAATAAAGTCAGAGCCAGGGGCTGAGAAGTTAGTTAGCCCCGGGACCGCTTGAGAGGTTAGTTAGTCCCGGAACCGCTGGAGAGGACAGTTAGCCACGGAACCGCTTGATAGGACAGGTTAGGAGGAAAACTAGTGATTTACTTCGTTTAGAAGGTATATGTTAAACTTGGAGTTTTTAGCTAGAACAGTGGTTAAGGAACTCGTAGAGAGTCATACGAATAGCCTGTATCCAGATAATACAGTGTTCATATACTATTGAATTTATGAAGCCTCTATGACTGGAATATTGTAAATAAACAGCTCTTGTGTAATTGTTACATCACTGGCCTTGTTCTTGAGTACGATTGAAGAGAGATACGAACTAAT